TTAAAGCGGTTCAAGCCGCGGTTCATAAATTTTCAGCTTGTAAAAGTCGTAGCTGGTTCACGTGGCTTATAAATCGGACCAAGTCAGTGATCAGTGGCTTGGCTTACGGGTATCGCCGAACTTCTGACAAACCGGTAAATACCGAACCAGAGCCAGCCATAGCCGAGCCGTGGCACTACTAGTCTTGGGCGATGCTGGAGTTCGGTTGCTCCATCGGTCTTGGAGCGAGAGTGGCGGAACAGCGATGAAAAGCCGTTGAATAGTGCGCGCGGATTCGAAGAAGAGGAATGGTGATGGGAACTGTGTGCTGCAGAGGACTGAGAGTACAAATATCAGACTAAGAATTGGCCAACGAAAGCAGATGACTCACCTGGGCGTCATCGAAAAATCCTGGCGTTATTTGGCGGGCATGAACAGCTGGACATCGCATAGCATCTCTCTAGAATATCTTTAAAATGGCTCAAAAGCTTTGAGAAACTCGTCACATACGGTTGTTAACGATTTTTGAGCTGGGACCTGCAAGTGGGAGATCAGTATAGTTTTATCTAAGAACCATGGGATTTACATGAGAAATAGGCAGGAGGAGGTCTTCAATGCCAGCTTCTTTGAGGATGGCATGAATGTCCCATGTGTGTGCGCTTCCGTTTTCGCAACCAGTGACTAGCACTGTTCCATCAGCGGAAAGGCTTGCGGAGTGCAAACTATCTTCATGCTGGAGGGGTGGTCCGATTGGGAGATTCGTGTCAAGATTCCATAGACGCGCTTTTTTATCATGGGATGCACTTGTAAGGAGGCGGTTGTTCGGAGACAAGGACAAGGCGTTGACACGAGATAAAAGGCCAACCTCAAGCTCAAGAATGGCAATCTGCTGCCAAGTGGCTGTGTCGAATATCCTGATCGGGTGATATGAACTGGAGATAAGCTTCTTTCCGTCCGACGTCCAGGCCAAGCACCGAACTCCGATATCATGTTTGAGTGTGATGGACCGTCAATTTGCCCGTCTTCGTATCCCAGATTTTGACTGCATTCTCGTCGTTTCCGCCCGTCGCAATGTATTCGTTACCGGGGGAGTACATCACTGCGCTCGCCCACTTGTGCCCAGTTTTGATTTCCAAGACAATTTCGCCGCTCTCAACATCCCAGACTCGTGCCGTCCCATCCCAGGATCCACTCGCTACTCGCTCACCATCCGCGCTCCAGCACAGTGCACACACGAGAGCGGTGTGTCCCGTCCATTTGGATATCACCTTCCTCGTCTCGACATCCCACAACCTCACTGTCCTGTCATCATGTCCACTTGCAACTGTCTTGTGGTTTGGAGACAATGCCATGGACCACATTCCTGATCTATCCTCTTTCCAGTCCTCGCCTATCTGTGCGCCGTTCTCTAGGTCCCAAATTCGGAGTGAGCTGTCCACTGAACATGTGATTATACGTCGTCCGCTGGACAGATGGACAACACCATTTACCCGATGGGTATGCCCTCGCATTGTCTGATGTGGTTTGGGTGCTGACGTCTGTTGCTTCTTACTGGTGGGTGAAGACACGGTCGATCCGTACTACAGACCGTGGACTATCTATGTGAGCGACGCCCGCTGCGATCTTTCAATCAGATCAGGTTATCCGGGGACGGCAACGATTGTTGGTGAGTCCAGGGGCTTATCCTTTTTCGCTGCGACGCTTGTCAGAATTCACAAGCCATTGCTCACGAGACAGCCTACTTACAGGAATCTAGTTGTGACCTAGAAGACAACTTCGGTGTAGGAGACGATCTGGCTGCAGCCCCGTACAGCACCATTTCCCCTTACTGGACGAAGTCACGCATACCTTCCACAGGCCGTTGCAGACCATCACACGAGGTTGCGGAATCCATGCACTCATCGCATCGCATCACATCGCACTATCCGTCCATGTCCTGTCTGCATCCGTCCGTCCTCACTGGACCAGTTACATATCAGTTCCCATGCACGAGGTCGCATAGTGCTACTTACATATTATCTCCCTCCGACTTCGCGTACATATGCGCCCGCTTATACGGTTCCGGTTTCTTACGGACTCTGTTATATACTACGTTGCGGACTCGTATCCAGCACTTTCCTACATTCCCTCTCTGGTTGTGTGTTGCGGAGTCACTAGCTTAGTCTTACCTTGTCTTTCCTTGCTTGAGCAATCACTTGTTCGCCTTCTCATCCCGCGCGAACGCTCACATCGCCATTGACAGTTGACTATTGCTAGTCCTAGCTGAGTTCCTTTGCAAGGCGGTTTCTACACATCTTCGCATATACCTGGTACCTAGTCCGCTCTACCCGATTACCTGTTCTGATACCTGGTACCCTACCCGTTTCGCATACCTGGTACCCTCTAGACATTCACTCGTTTCTCCGCATCCGCATACCTCGCATCTCCGCACCCGTATACCTCGCATCTCCGCACATTCTCGCATCTCCGCATCTCCTCGCATACACAGCCGTTCTGTCTTCAGCGCTTCACTTCCTTCTTCACTGTTCCCCTCGCTCTTACTTGAGGAACTGCTCTCAGAGCTATCCCCTTGGGTCGACTACTATTCTCGCACCCAGCAGGATCGGTACACTATCACTATAGCGGACTTCAACGATTTCTCCCACATCGGGACTGTATATGTATATGCAGGACTTGCCGCGCCGTTATTCGAGAACGTGCCACAGATCTTGGTGGGTATCCGAAGCTACTGGTAGGCAGATGGTCAGCTTTAACCTGCAGAAGAACCTACAGTATCACTCACGAGAGGCACCGTTCAGACGAAAACAGTGCTCAAATCACCAGTGACCAATGGATGTCTAGTTGGGAGAAGAGGAAGTTGGGCGCTCGTTCGTTCAAGCCGTCTTTTCTTAATTTGGTGCGTGCCATGTGTCAACCTCGTGTTCGATTCACACCTTCATCGCTATGTAGATGAAGCGCTTTGGAGAACCAATAAGACTCAGCAACATAGTCAGCACTGAGCGCTTGTGGCGTATCATTAACTCAGAGGCTGAGCCGGGAAATCGCCGCGAGATCGGCATAGTGCGTTCAAACTACATAGTCTGTAGGAAATGATACTGGGAGAGTGGGGCGAGGGAACGATCTAGTACAACGCATGGTGTACATACTTGCTATCGGGTACCCAAGGAATGAATGCAAACAGAATAACTGGTGCATGGCATTTGCAACTAGTACGGGTTTCTAGCGATAGTTGAAATTAGAATCGAGGCTTCATGCCAGTGTTGAAACCAACCCGAGATTGAAGAGGTTGTAGCATTCAAATACGCAGTCTCGACGCGAAAAAAGAGATGACAGTTATTACAGAAGGACCGGATCCACAGATGAAATAGGTGTCCATATGCTGCAGCGTCAATGTCCATCTGCATTCGGGGGAGATGCACAACAGAGAAAAAGAACAAAACGAACCCGCAATGGAAGGGGCCTTGGCTGCGCGGTTGCTGCACCTGGCGCGGTAGTATGCGTATGAGGAGCAGTAGGTATCGTGGATGTCGAGGCGGCAGCAGGCCGTGTCTGCGATGATGACGCATGGGGCTGGACTTGGCCGTGCAATTGGATGTGCTGCTGCTGTGTTGGATTCTCAACGTATTGAGAAGATGCACAACAGAGGAAAAGCACGAGAGGAGCCAATAATCGACGGAGTCGCGATCGCGCACGTATTGTACCTGGTGTAGTAGCACCAGCAGGCTGAGTGTGTGGACGATTTGGCACCGGCCGTGGAGCAACATATAATGCCTGCATGGATGTCATCAGATACCAGAAGTTGACACACTAGAGAACGACATGCCTGCTTGTCCCGCACTGCAGCCACTTCAACAACACGAGGACGCCACGGGTGTTGCGGGAGTGCTATTTCTTCGTCGATGTGGGGTTGAGGGCAGAAGAGTGAGGACAGACGACCAATGAGTGCATTTGAACGTGAACCCGAATGTGTTGTGGGATGAGTTTCGGTTTCTTCTTCGGTATTGGGTCGAGAGCGGGGACGTAATGGGGACAGTCGAGCGAGGAGCGCATGTATATCTAACCGCAAAGGCGTGGATGGTTGCTGAAGTTCATTTGCTGCATCATTTTCAGGTGGAGAACGGTGTATGAGTGGGGACAGGTGAGCGAGGAGCACCTGTAAGTGTAACGCCGAAGATGTTGGGGGTTGTGGAAGTTCATTCGCCTCATCAATGTCGTGTCGAAAGCGGTGGAGGAGCGAGGAAAGGCGAGCGAGGAGTGCACTTGCAGAGGAACGAGGGTGGATACCACCCGTTTGGGAGGACTGAGAGTACAAAGATCAGGGGAAAAAATTGAGTAATGAAAATGTCGATGACGGACATGAACTTCGGCTTCCGTGCTGTCAAAAAATCTGGGTGGGAGTTCATCGACATGACCCCCGAACTCGTTGTGATATCCCGTAGCATCAGCCTGCAATGATATGTTATAACCACTGAGCAGGTTCAAAAACACCCTACGTACCTCCAAAAATGACTTGTCACTTAGCGAAGAGCGGGGGGTTCGCTCTATTCCTGAATTGTCTTGAGATGCCTTCTGTTCGAGTCCGTCTTTTGGTGCCTAGCAGCAGACTTTGTCAGCGAGAGAGAAGGTGGGTGAGGCGTTGACACTCACAATATTCACTGCGTTGAGCCGTAGGTTACTCGCAAGTTGAATAGGTCACGGTAGAAGCCGTAATTACAAGTAATATGACTTAGTCATCGACATCCATTAGGACAGCTGCCTTCATCCTCCACTACGCACTACCAGATCTTCGAACCATATATACTTGATGCCATCAACTACGCCGTCTCATTCAGATTGTTTGTAAATACTAATAGCTTTTAATAGACGGCCTCGTTCGCTTTCCCATTGGTGCGATACTTGTAAGTTAAAATAAGTCTCATTTAGCTCAGGTATGTATCTAGCGTCTAGACGGTGCATACACGTCGTGACGTTTTTTTCATCTAAGTCTTATCTGATCCTCATCTTATCTTCCTACCACCACCATGAACGACGACCAGGTGAGTCCACTAGCTTCTCGTTCTCATTTGCTTTACTAAATGAATATCCTGCTCACAGCAAACTGTTGGCCACACGACGAGGTCGAATCGACGTCTCGTATGGTGCGACTGCGATGTTTGCAAATTTGCAGCTCCCACCAAAGGCGGCCAGAACATCCCCGCATATCAACGTGAAAACCATCGTCGCACTCAAAACCTCAGCTTATCTGCAATAGCGCAACGAGGACGAGGCGCTTCAAGTTCTTTGCAACGTGACCGTGGAGGCCTCCATGTCCCCTCTCGAGCGCATGGGTCAGCCCCCCCTCGAGGTGCTCCTCCTCAACCTCGGGGTTCTGCTCTGCGATCTGCAAATTCTGGAGTGTCAGGTTCTCGGTCTTCAGCGACCCAGCCAACAATTCCGCATGAGGTTCCTGTTCCGTCTCGACCACCATCCCCATCTCAACCAGAACCCATGGTTCTTTCACGCGCATCATCTCCTTCGTATGTTTTTCTTTGTATTTGTGCTTGGCTCACCAATGTTTTCAAGATTTTCATACATGGATGTGGACAACACTCATCCGGAACCGCAGGAACACGAGCATCCTCTATCAGCCACCCCGCCGCCACCAGACCCCTTGCCGCATGCACCATTATCTCCTATGGCTGCCATGCCATCACCCAGCTCTCCTTATCTTTGTGTCATCTCTTCTCCTCGTCCTCGCCCTATCTCCGTCATGCGCACGAGTCCAGTTCCGTTTGGCAGCCCGATCCCAGTTGCCCATTCAATACCGGCACTAGTACCTCGCCAGATTCAACGGGCGGACTTGGATGCCGAAACCCAAAACGAAAACGCTCAACATACTGTAGCTAGTGCTGCCGTGGTCCGGTTCGGTCAGGTTCACAGAGGGATGAGCGAAAACCAAGAACCGGACCTAGGTCCGGTTCTACCAGACTCGACGAACCCCGAACTGGACCTTTACGAACGGTTCGGAATGGTCAGGTCCGGTTATTTTCACGTTCGAACGTGAACCGAACCCAAATTTTTTTACAGTGAGCAAAAAAAACGTAGATATTGTACAGTGCGCAAAAAAACGTAGATAGAACTTGTACTCGTAGCTACACATCCAACACAGCTGCTTCTGCCTCAACCTTTGTGGAAACATGGCCATTCTTGTATGCTGCCTTCAATAGCTGCAGCGAGCTGAATGTGGATGCTGCGAGTCCATTGCGTCGCACAGTAGAAGTGATCCCTCCGCTCGAAAAAGCCTGTTCGGAGGGGACGGAGCTGCCTTGAATGGGCAAGTAGTCTCGTGCAATGCGTGCTAGAGTAGGATACTGCAACGAGTGAAGCTAAGGAACAATTTAAGTAGCAAATAAACAGGTCATGATGAGAATACTTACTCCCCACCAGGCAACAATGTTGTCAGCTTCCTCTAGCGGCGAAGACAGATACATCGTGAGTTCTTGACGAGGATTATGAGCACGTTGGTCTGCAGCTTGACGGGTTTTGATGGCCTCGCGCATCCACGCATCACCGTACCGATTTTCATGCAAGGGTCTTGTTGGCGGAGCGGGTTCTTTGGCAGGTGCCCGAGTTGGCGGTTTATAATACTTGTCAAACTATAAACATAAGTTCAGGAAGGATGATGAGCAGTCAGAACTAATACTACTTACCACGGCCTTGAGGTGAGCCCTCCCGTTCGCAACATCTCGAGTGTCCCATCGATCTTCGACATAGGCAAGTTTGTAGTTGGGGTCAAGGACTGTGAATATAATTAGACGTGCATGCAACATAGAAAATAATATTAATGCTTACCGAGACAAATGAAATATACATCGGAGTCACTCGTTTTCTTGTAGTACTTGTCGACGTTCTTGAGTCCTTGCTTGATTGCATCTGTGATCGGCGCGTACTGGTCATCGTTTGCCATCTCTTGCCACCGGTCCGCAAGGCATTCCAATGTTGGGATCGTTTGCGACGCAGTTGGGTGTTTCGCAGATGAGAATGACTGCTGGGCAGTAGCTGGTTCCTTCAGGACTTGATGAACGAGCGTGAGGTGTTTCCAATCGTTCCGATCGAGCTTGAAATCATCGTAAGACTTGTTGCGAAGATTCGGCACTTCTTTACTTTCGTCGGCGAGGTTTGTGAAGCGGTTCACAGCCTGTTCAATTATAAATATCAAACTGATGAACACTGATTAAAAAAAAGACTTACCCGACGTAAGAGTAGCATGCGATCAAGACACTTGTATAGAGAAGCCCAACGAGTCCTAATCCACTGCAATAACTCGAGCGCGGGGACGTTCTCTTCTTTGCAGGCCTTCTTGAAGAAGGCACGAGCTTGAGGCGATTTTCGAATCTAACAATACCAGTCAGCAAGAGTATAGAATAGTAATGTAGTACTTACCTGCTCAATGAGCGCAAGGGCTTTACCAAGTGAATCACCAGTGTCGAACACATCATCTTTCTCGCAATCACCATTTACTTCCATGGCTGCAAGCTCCTTATTCAAAATGTCGAGCTCATTGTCGTTCCCTGTATCGAGCGCCTGACGGATCTTCTTCATAAGCGCAGCTTGAGGAGTAGGTGCAACGGCATCTACAAAGTGTCGTGCGGCAAGGTTCAGTATGTGCTCCTGGCATCTGATGCGGTGCGTGGCAGGTATCCACTGGACACCCTCTGGATCAATTTCATGAGCGACTTCCTTCATTGCAGTATCGTTGTTGCTCGCGTTGTCCGAGGTCATCCACCCAAGCTATATGAATCATTAGCCTTGCTGCAGGATAGTAGGCCAGACCTTACCTTTTCTCGGAGGTTGTATGTGTCAATCGAGTCTATAAGCATACGAGCGATGTTTTGCCCGCTGTGATTGCCCTCGATATGTGTGAAACTAAGCTGCTCGCGACGTAACTCCCATTGCTGGGGTTTATCATCTGGATTCCAAATATAGTGACCGGTGATGGAGAAAAACGGGTCGCCGATGATCGAAGTCCAGGAGTCGAATGTCATAGAGACTTTGCTATCAACTTTAGCAAGACGCTCACGTATGACATTGACTATGGCTTCTGCGCGTGCCTTGATGGTCTCAGTGAGCTTCGTGCGGTGAGGGATGTCACGTTCAGTAAGGCCAGAGCGAACATAGCGAAGTAGGTTTCGGAATGCTGGTTTGTCGACCAGCTGTAGCGCCTCGTCTTCGGTCACAATGAACTCCATTATGTACTCTAGGAGACCGGCCTTGGTGAATGTAGGCGCTTTGGTGACGAGTATACTATCAAGGGTAGATTGCCTCGAACTGTCAATTATTTAGCGCCATGTTATACAAAAGGTTAATTAAAACTCACAGCGCCTGATCCTCGTCAGCTGGAATAGCGCGAGGGTGCATTACAATTCCTGCAGCTTGACAACGAGCCTTGTAGAGTTGAAAGTGGTTTTTTTTGCTGATAGATATGTGTTAGTGTGAAACGTCAAGAGATGAAAGGACGTGAACATACCGACTAACATGAGTGCGGAGTGTAGAAATTCCTCCTCGAAATATGTGCCTGCTCTCAGGTTCACCAGCGTCCCTACCAAATATCAGTAGGAAACAATGCACACAGCACTAACTACGTACTTGCAAGGGTTGCATACCCAGTGCGTTTCATGGCGAGTGAAGGTGGTGCGAATGTCAGCAGTACGTTCGCTCTTTGCCAAAGTGGCTTGCGCGACCTTGGGTTCAGCGCCGTCCTCAGTTTCAGCATCGTCCTCCGGTTCGGATTCATCTTCAGCTTCGGGCTGGTCAGCGCCAGGCTCCAAAGGATCAGTATCGTTGCCAGTGTCGTTATCGTCAAGGCTATCATCATCAAATAAAGATGGTATAACTTTCTTGCGGGCCGGTTGAATTTCGTTAGCGCTGGATAAAGCACGTTTTCGGCTCGTCGAGGAATAAATGTTCTCGGTATCCCGCAGGCGAGCAGATGGCTTGGACGTGCGAACGGATCGTCGAGAACCAGCTATAACTGTCACTGGTTTGCAACCTGTGAGAGTAGGCGCAGAGGAAGGAGTAGATAGTGGGACGGTATCATCAGGATCATGATAAAAGACGATGTCCTTAGCATCCTTAAGAGATCCATCAGTATTGAGGGCGCATGCGTCAATTTCAGACATGATGATGAGTGAACTTACCTGGTGCTTGCTCCTTTTAACCGCTAACAAAGTAAACAAGGAGGATTGTGAAAATAACTTATTTGAGAGCCGGGGGTGCGGGATGCGAGCCTCCGGAAAGAATTCAAAGTCGCCGCAAATCTTGAGGATCCCAATGACCATGGGGCAGAAGCTGAAGCTGAGTCGAAGTTGAAGTGACCATTACTAGTAGTGTGTGCCTCGCCGATAACATGAGGACACTGCGGTTCGGGGTTCGGAACGGTTCGGGAAGGTCCGAACCTATGTCCGAACCGTTCAGGTGATGGTGGACCGCGGACCTCTTTCAGGTCCGGTCCGTCCAAAACTTGGAACCATGGACCGAACCAAGGACGAACCTGACCATTGGTCAGGTTCGAACCATGGTTCGGGACCGGACCACGGCAGCACTAACTGTAGCTCGAACGACTGTCGGCTTGTATGATGATCCGGATGCCGGAGACAACCTCCATAATGATCCACTTCTCCATACCGCGACGGAACTCAACGGAGACTCAGAATCAGACAACGACACTCATCGAGCGAGGGTGCTACGGACATCTGCAAACTCTCAGCACCGTCAATTCCAAGTGCCCACACCCTTAGAATACGAGGCTCCACCCAGTGCGGCTCAACTTTATTGTGATAGCCATACTGAATGGTTTGGACGTCTTGTCCTGCTTTTGGTTGCGGTCCTACATGCCAAACACCGGGTATCATTTCGTGCATGTGCGCTGATCCTTTTCACGCTCAACACCATCCTCATCGCACTCAATGTACTCCAACCAACTAACCCCCTTCCCATAACACTACACACGATCATCAATCGCTTCGATCTCCAGGATCGCTTCACCATCTATCCGATCTGTGGTAGCTGTCATCGGATCTTTCCTATAGATGCACCCATTGATACATTATGTTCCGATTGCGACAGCCGTCTTTTCAAACCTATTTCTGACAGACTTTTTCGAAGGTTAACAGGGCGCCAGTCTCAACGTCCACCACCCATTTGCGCAGCACCAATTCAACTCCCGTCGTCGCTCCTTGCCGATTTTCTAACACGGGGTGACAATGAAGAAAGCTGTAGTTCCTGGAAATCCCGTTCCACGGTGCCTGGCAAGCTCAAAGATATATCAGATGGTGACATATGGAAAACTATTAACGGCCCTGACACGAGACCCTTCTTTTTGGACCCTCAAGACGACGGTGAACTGCGTATAGGTGTTACAATGAGTCTTGACTGGTGCGCTTACTTAATTCTATCTCGATCAAAATATTCATACCCTTTCTCTTCCCAGGTTCGGTCGTAAGACAAGTGTCTATGGACCGAGTTATTCATCAGGTGTTCTGTCCTTGTGCGTTTCCAACTTACCGCGAGCGCTAAGGTGAGTTATTGTTTGGTCGTTTGTGCATATCTGAACGATGGTTATTCCAGGTATCGAGCAGAAAATTTATTAGTCTCCTTTATGACTCCAGGGCCGAAGGAACCAACAGGATCGCAGCTTCAGAATTACATGCGACTCGTTGTTGACGACCTCCTCCAGCTTTATGACGAGGGCATTATATATCATACCCCTGCATATCCTCAAGGTAAGTTTCATTTGTATGCTAGTTGTTTATGTATTGAATCAATCTGCAGGACGAAGAGTACGAGTTGTTCTGCTTGGCGTTGTCTGTGATCACCCCGCTATGTGCAAACTTAGCGGATTCGCTGACCACAGTCATAACAACGCGCCGTGCTCTAAATGCCACGTTTCGCAAGATAAATTATTTTCTGACGAATCCCTTCGTAACGGTATGTGCCTCAATTAATCATGGGACCTTTTTAATTAATATGTCTTGTAGAGTTTGCAGCTCGCAATGGTGAAGCACATCGCCAACGATGTTACGAAAATAACAAGCTGACGGACGACGACGCACATACGACGTTCTTCAAAGAACATGGTGCCCGATGGACTGAACTCGCCCGCCTCCCATATTTTGACCTTGTACGACAAACTATCATAGACCCCATGCACAATCTTCTTCTAGGTACATTTGAAATCCACATCAGGTGTTATACTCTAATGTTTCTGCAGGGATCGTTAAGACGCAGTGGTACAATCGATGGATCCAAAACTCGGCGCTTCGTGCTTCAACCGATGCCCGAGCTCGTGAACTCGACATGATACACAAGTTCCTTGCCTCCGTGAGTGGATCCTTTGGTGAGGCATGTATCAACCATACTGAACATTCACATAGTTCGAAGCACCATTATGGGCTGGTAAACTGCCACTCCGTGTTGGAGAACCTGCGGGAGGCTCGCTGACAGCCGACGAGTACAAATTTGCAGCGCTAACTGCATGGCCCATCATCGTAGGATACCCAATCATTTTGCTTTGTCGATCACTCATTTCTGTCCTTAGATCCCGATTGTTTGGCAAACCTTCATCAAGGAGTCGGACAAAGACTTCGAATCTGCACGGAAGCGCCATCTCAAGGCCCAAGAAAAATTCAACAAGGACTTTATGGCGTGGAAATCGCGTCAAGAACTTCCACAGGGAAGTGCGAACACGGGAAAGAGAGGTAATCGAAGCAAGGAGGACGCTGAGCCTAAACCTCCGAAGCAACCTAATGTCCGCATGCAGCGTGACGAGCCGACTAACCTACTACGTCTATCGACTGCGCTTAAGATATTTTGTGGAAGCTCCGTGCAGCTTGAGCTACTACCCCGAGCTGAAGTCCTACTTCAAGAGTATCTTCTTGAATTCAAACGGGTAAGCTATTTCTCATTTGATACTCTGGCTAACTGTGTGCCCTTAGATGTATGGCGAAGGATCCATGAAACCCAATTTTCACTGGGCCGTTCACCTCGCCCAGCAAATCAGAGACTATGGGCCTGTATACAACTTCTGGGCGTTCCTGTCCGAGCGACTCAACAAGGTTCTGAAAAGTTCTAACTCAAACAACTGGACAGGTGGGCAGGTCGAAATCTCGATGATGAGGGAGTTCATGCGTGCAGGACAAATTGATTCCATGGTCAGCGGTTTCACATGCTAATCACTCAAGCTAACTTTCACAGGCTCGTGGCGCACTTCAAACAACCCAAAGTCCCATCATCGAGTCGGTTTTGAAACGGATGCTCGGTGAAGGTCAGGAGGCCCTTGGAACCGTCCAAGATGCAGCAGGGGATATTGAACTAGATGGTATGTCGTGTGCTCTCATTTGTTGTTTGGCTACTTACACTCGAGACAGAATTACGAGGCTACCTGCATGTCCAGCCTGGCCCCGCATCCATGCACCCACAGCAACTCAACGACAGCGCCCGAGCAGCGTTACATTCACAATACAATGCACGACATCCTCACAGCATTCATTATGCTCTAGCGTTGAATCCGCCTCCTCAATCCTTACCACTCAACGATTTTGCGGTGTTTTACGACTTCGCGCTTTTAGATGGCCGCCGAATCACGCCCGCTTCAAAAAGTACTCGCGAATCCTTTGGATCTTCATTAATAAAGGCAAGAGTTGGCCCCGACTTTTACTATGGCGAGATTATTAGTATTTTTTCTCATGTTCAACCGAACACCTCAGATGGTTCACAGCTTCAGGCTGAATTCAGGTGGATGAAGGAACTTGCTTTGTCTCCTGTGCAGGATGACCCATGGAGCGAATTGTGAGTACCTGATCTTGTTATTTTTCAAAGGAACTCATGCGCATTACAGTCCTGAACTCAATGTAACGTGTTTTGCACTCAACGAGTTCTGGGGACCGCAAGAAGCAGGCTCGCCACCCTGCGTTCTGCCGTTTGATTGCATCACTTGTCAGATCGCTCGAGGAGTTGTGACGACAACAAATCCACAAATGTGGATCACAACTTCATTGGATAAGGTACGTTAGTGATTTTCCGCACAAGTTTCTATTCTAACAACGCATCTACAGCATCCGTGTGCATGAGTCCTTGTATGTCTACAGGTATGTCTATTGTGCAAGTCCCACGTTCTCCAGCTAAACTTCCTCATGATCTTGCCCGCTACCTTCCACAATGTCTGTATCGTTCTTTGCGGATCCAAATCCAGGTGGATCCACCCAATCACCCCACTCCTTCAGTTGCACCTGATACTCTGGGTGGTTCTTGTTCTCTTCGAGCCACTCCGCATCTATTCCGAAGTTGTAGGGCGTGTAATCGGGGATACGAAGCAGCGTTCGGTCAGTTCCTTCAACCCGCAACGTGTGGAATCGTTTACGTTGCTTGGTATTGAGGGATTTTTTCCACAGCTGGAAGAGTTCGTGATATATGTCAGCGAGCTGTGATTCTAGGTAAGCGAGACTGTTTTTAGCTATGGCGCATTAACTTACCTCCTGTGATCTCCAAGGATTTTTCACGACTTCCATGAACACCATACCGTCCATGTCTGTATCCGCTGGAAAGCCCTTTTCCTTTCCCATCTTGATCCTCCACTTGTCGACTGATTCACCATCGTCTTCAGGTCCAGATGCCTCGTCTGACATATGATCCGCGTGGATGATGTTGATGGGATCCGCGCCATGAAGTTCGAGGTACTTCGGACATGCTGTTGTCAACCGGTCGGCTTTCTTTTTCAAGTCCGTAAGTGTTTTTGTTCTTATTTAAAAGCAGACATTATCGACTAACCTCTTTACGACGCTGACTCCAGCGATTCTTTTGCTGGTTGTTGTTTTTAGCTGCGGCCTTCTCGCGGTCATTCTGCGCTTTCCACTCCTCCTTGAATCCACGGTACGTGTCTTTAGCAAACGTGAACAACGATTGCTTATTCCATTTGACCTTGCGGTTGCTCAGGGAATCGCTAAGGGTCGTGCTCTGTTCAAAAGGTGAGGGGATTGTGAAGTCGAAAGGCTCACAACTCACTCTAAGTTCCTCCCAGACAAGATGCGCGATCTTGTTGAAGATCACTCGATTATGGTCGTCGTTCACGGTCGCCTCAAAATTCGGTGTTAGGTACACCTCGCCTGTCATGTCATTCTTTCGTTCAACCTCGAGACTTGGCCATTTTTTCCCGTCGGATACATCACATGCACGGCGGAACTTGGCGGTAACCAAGTGCTATGGTACGTGAATTCATTTGTATTTGAAGAGTGAGAATGTGCTTACCTTTAGGTGCCCTTGTGCTTCCCGGGCAGCGGTAGAGAGGCTACCACGAGCCCCTGTGACGTCTTCCGCATCATGATCGAATTCACCTGCCCGTGATTCCACACCATCAACCTCAGCACCAGCACCTCTTCGCCTGCGCCTCCGAGCAACCGATGACGCCCCCCGACTTTGGACTATGCGGCCACGAGTGGAGGTCTGGTGTGAAGGTACATTCCCTTCAAGCTGTGCAAGTCGTTCATCCGTTTGCTTATAGTGCTCATCCTGATTTTCACGCATCTCACACAGGATGGCAGCAAGATCTTCCATGTTTGCTGGAGTCGAGTGCCTTGTGGCTGGCGACGACGCACGACGAGAGTGACAGTTGTTTCGGGATGATGAACGGCTGGTGGATGGAGACGATGGGTTCCTCCAGCGATTATGCACAGGACTTCTTGCCCTATGCCTTCCCTCCCACTCACGATTGTTGTCACTGGGTGAAGATGAACGCTGATGCCTTCCCCGTGATCGTCGAGAGCTGGACGCAGCACCTCTCCTATGTCGACGATGCTCAGGTAGACGTGTATCACTTTCATAGGGAAAAATTGGTGAGTTTGACTGCATATATTCAGTGCATATATTCACTCACCTGCTATTTGTAAGCCTTCGTGCACCATTATTTGCAGCAGATGGGTTCGCAAACGGCATCGGCTCATGTGGACCATCTCTATTTGCATCATGAGTAGCACGCCTTGGGGCCGAGGAACCGTTCGAGCTACTGAGAAGTGCTGGATCGATATTCGAGTTAGCTGGGGCCATATACACTTCTGGGGTTTCTGCAATCGTTCTCTTCAAGCTGTCTGGCCAGCTATCCCACACTTCAGGTGCTATCGCAGGGGGGCGTCTCAGCATGTTTCCGTGATGATAATAGGATGGCAGGGGCAGAAGGGGATACGAGCGCACAGGGCGCACAGGGGGAATTGAAGCAGGACGCGAAGCAGGCACAATAGTTTATCGAGCACGTGGTGTATTCATCAATATGAATATATTCATTATTTCAGCCCTACATTGGGTGATCTACTCTTATTATATTAGGAAGATATTTGAATGAAGCTGAAGCAATAGGTATATAGTCTAGTGTCATCTAATTGTATCTCGAGTAGACAACATGATATACGCTAATTGTTATTAACATAAGTCGTCGAGCCAGCCCCCAAGTATGTCATGTCCTTACACGTACGCGAGGCTACTTCAACGCTGACTAACAAATCTATTTTCATGTCTAGCTACCTGAGCTTATCTTGCCTAAACACACATACTTCAAGTACCGCTAGTCTGGATCTTCACGCAGTGATTGGTACCAGTGGAAAGTACTAAGTCTTCAAGGCCAGCTTCTTTGAGGATGGCATGAATGTCTCATGTGCGTGCGCTTCTGTTTTGGCAACCAGCTAGCTGCAGTGACTAGCACTGTTCCATCAGCGGAAAGGGCTGTGGAGCACAAATGATCCTCATGCTGAAGGGGTGGTCCGATCGGGAGATTCGTGTCGAGATTCCATAGACACGCCGTTTTATCATCCGATACCGATGCACTTGCAAGGAGGCGGTTGTTCGAAGACAAGGACAAAGTGTCGACACTAGTACAACCGCAGTTCGGCTACGGCCCGCTCCGGCTTGGCGTTCACCGGTTTGCCAATGTTTTTGCTATCCTAGTGAGCTAGGCCACTTGTGTAGAGTTTGGTTCAGTTCGTTAGCTGGACGAAGTGACTTGAACCAACTGTAAGCCAAAAATTATGAACGGCGGCTTGAGCTGGCTTGAGGCTGGCTTGAGGCAGCTCAAGCTGATTTGGAAATCTGAATCACACATCTTTTCTCTCGCTCGCGGTTGGATTCACTGTTGGATTGTTGTACTCAAGGCTCAAGTGCTCAAGACTCAAGTTACCACATACCATGAATCATCAGGTCCCGATACGAGTTGATGGTAGATTCAGACTCGGAGATGTTGTGGGATCTGGTTCATATGGTACGTCGTTCACACACTGACTACAATTGTAAAAATTCAACATACTATGGACCCTCAGCTGTTGTATACCATGGACAGAACATCATCAAAGATGACGCAGTTGCGATCAAACTCGAACCCATCGTCAGCCACTCATCTTCTGTACAGCGCGAATACGCCATTTTGAAACGACTTGAAGGTGGAGTTGGGATACCCCGCGCCCTCTGGTTTGGTAGAGAGGCAACATATCACGCGTTGGTTCTTGACCTCCTTGGGCCATCACTGCAAGATCTTTTCCTCGCGCACAATCGAAAATTCAACCTTCACACTGTCGTGAATCTAGGAGACCAACTGGTCAGTTGGTTTATGCTGGGTTGTTGCAGATAGGCTAACACATTTCCCAGCTCACACGTCTCGAATACATCCATGCACACAATTACGTTCACGGTGATATCAAACCGCAGAATGTCTTGGTGGGTCTTGGCCATTTGAGGCACACTGCATATATCATCAATTTTGGTATTGCGAAGGAATACTGGAACACTGCAACCAGAGTCCATATCCCATTCCGTCAGAATCGAAGTCTCACTGGCACTCCTGCGTTCGCTTCGATCAACAATCACTTAGGAGTTGACCCGGGCCGTCGTGACGATCTCAAGTCGCTTACCTACATGTTGATCTATTTGTTGCGCGGCTCCCTTCCATGGTTAACCAGTGACCATGAGAAGCTATCCAGCTCTTCTATTCTCGAGCGCAAGGTCAACACCACCATTGAAGTTCTATGCGATGGAATTCCTGTCGAGTTCGCAAGTATTCTCATCTACACGCGCTCTCTTGCATTCTCAGAGGACCCTGACTATGGGCATCTTCGTTCATTGCTTCACGGTCTTCAAGCTACATTGTCCGCACCAGCTACGTGCTCACTGGATTTCTCCCAACCTGATGATCACATCATACATCCCCTTCCAATCTCCAATGAACATTGGATTGCCGAGGCAGCGCCTCCGCTGGCATGTCCGCCGGATGCAACACCTCTTCGCAGATCGACTCGTGTGTGAGTAATCTGTTTCATTTTCCCACTCGCGATCTTAAGCTCAAGTGATTTCCAAGTTTACGCCCACGTAACGGCTTTCCGATGCACCCAACTACTTCAGCTCCACGCCGTAACAAAATACTAGTTGCTGGCTGTTGAATCCTTATCTTTATCTGTACATAATATGTATATAGTGTACGAGCCAACAGCATTTCTGGTCAGATGCGGTTTGAAATACAATTCAGGCGAAATTCGAATCATCCTCCCACGCAGCTCTTAATAAGCTTCTTATCTTTCTAAATTTTCACACTTGCCCGTCGTCTCCTTGCCCTCCTTGCAAACCAAGTGTTATTTTTCTGCAGATCGGTTGGCCTGCGACGGAAACAAACTTGTTCCAGACTTACTCCTGAGGCCTGAGTCCTGATATCGATCAGACTCACCTTATCGGATTCGATCAGCACCATGGCGGCATGGCCAGCCTACTGTATGACGCATGGGGGATTTTCCCCAAACACCCCATTTCCTTGTCGCTGTATCATGATCTAGGTTCAACACTCAATTGATCAGGGCGAATGAAGGTAAGCTTTCACTCATTTGACCACCTGTGATAAGTCTAGCAAACCGCAGGCATTCATTAACAGAAGATCGACCAAGCAAAATACCAGATTTAGTGCCCATTAGAATGCACATTTTATGGTATCCTTCTCCTCGGGTAAGTTCTATGGGTGGCATCGGGGAAACCCCACTGACATGTTGTGTTC